TGAACAATTCATTTGAAACAATTAAATTATTTTATTTCTACAATATGTCTAGGTATTATTTAATAATTTTCACGAGTTTTATATTACGATGAAATAATTAAACTAATTATTTTAGTATTTCATTCAATAATTCTAAGTAATTTTTTAAAATATATTGTTCAAGACTGTTATAAATTTTAAATAACACTTGGAAACATTACGGAAGAAAATTTATTGTTTAATTGTTGCAAGTAAATTATTAGAAATATTAAAAATTGTTTAAACAATTATTATTCAGAATATTCAAAAGTAATATTTAAAATATGTCGGTATTTCAGATCGCGGGCCATGAAAGTCCGCAAGGTGCAATGTCTGATCGTATACTTCGTCGGTGTCAGAAGGTTCTTGTCCAAGATTTTGTTTTCAATGGAATTCCTACCATTGAATATTTCCATTATAATTGAACCATTGACTATTAATTATATAGAATAAATACGGTATTAAACAAAATTTTAAGTCTATGTTCCGATTTGCTACGGTATATATATCTCGTCTGTGTCGTAGACAATGAAATCAATAGTTAGTAGCATAACCTCGTCTCTATCATTGTATCATTAAAAAAATTGCAAAATGAATTAACGTATAAAATTTAAAATATACGTAATTTATTCTAATATTTCCATTTTTTTTTAAATAATTTTTGAAACAATCGACATTACAGAACGTGACATGGCGTTCCATTAAATGTGAAATCTATTTTATGTCTTGTTTATGGTCCGACAAAGTAATAAACGATGTTTGCTAGCTGTTCTAATTTTTGTTTGTAAATTTTTAATAATTTACAACATGTTAGAAAAAACATCTAATACAGATAACAATCAGTTATCTAAAGAAGATTATTTAATTATGCGTGCGAAAGATGCATTGCCAATTGACATTTATGCGGCTAAATCTTGGTTGATTACTGCTAAATCGTTGTTTCCTCATAGTGCTAAAGTTCAGGTTAAGTTATTTTAATGTATATAATGCCTATATAATATAATTTATAGTGACTGATATTTTATAAATTATTTTTTAGAATTTAATTATTGATATTTTTATAAGATCTATAATATAACAAACAGATACATTTTTAATAATAAATATGTTGTTTATTCAATAGTTCGAGGCTTATCGGATCGAAAAACTTTCAAAAAATGTGAAAGAAGCAGCAAAATGTTTTAGTGAAATGTAAGTTTATAAAATAAATAACAATTGTATTAATTTAAATAAATTATATATATACTTGAGAAGTTTTTACAGAAGAGTAATTATTTAAACATAAAAATAGATTTCAGAATTTTCCAGACGATCGTGATATATGGAAAGAAATAGAAACGGTAACAGCCTGTCTTCGTTTGGAACAATGTGATGCTGAAGCAGAATTTTTATGTCAAATGTTTCAACATATACCACAAGAACTTCAACACAGATTGCTTATTATGACTGCTGATCATAGCGAAGATACAATGGAGCATTGTAAATTATTACTTCTTTTATTACGTAAATTCCCTCAAACTATTGCCACTCATGGAGTAAGCATCTTTAATTAATGTATCTGCGATATTTGTATCTGTTGTTATAGTTCTTAATTTGTTACATTTTTAGCCTCGCTTAGTAGAAACTCTTCTTACTGCAGAGAAACATAGTCACCCAGGACGTACAGTAAATGGATACAGAAAATTATTGGCCTGTGATGCATTACCTCTCCTTGGTACTGCACAGGTAGAATTGAACCCAAGGCTTAGCTTGAGATTACTTTGTAAGGCAGTAGAATTTTATTTGGCATACATACAACAACCACAACAACCACAAGACAATCAAATTCAAAATCCCTGGGATAGATTATTTCAAGTTGTTGAATTAATAGGAAAAAAATTGGGATGGGAATTAAGTAATTTATTTTGTATGGCTTGGAACAGAGAAGCATATTGTGAAAGATTGCACCAGTATGCCATTGCACATTCTGGTAATTTATGTGAAGAATTGACAGTTAGACAACTATTAATGTGTACTATTGCAGTATTATTGAGGATATTAAATGAACATAATGCATTAACTAATAATGACGAAATTATGTACTGTTTGGTAGAAGCATTTGGAGAATGTATACACACACCTACAGGTAAAATATAATTTGTAATACTTTAGACATCTTTGTTGTTTATAAACTATATAAATTGTAATTGATTTATGATTATATAGAGACTTTATTTTAGATTTTAATTTAATTATTTTTTCATAATTAGAAAAATTGAAAAAACGGAAAAGAGAAGATAATGGTGGGATTATACTAACCAGTGATGGTGATTATAGTGGTAATGGATTGGCATTAGCTGTGAAGTTATGGGACTTGTTACATAGTAATGATTATTTACAAAGAGAAATTGGAAAACTAAATCAACAACTTCGATTAGATTCATGGCTAAATTCATTTCTAACAGATTTGGCTATGTATAAAGGTTTACATCATGAAGTGTTAACGAGATTATCTCAAGAAGCTATTGTTAGTTTATCTGTTCATCTTCGCTTAGCAAGTACATGTTTTTTCTTAAAAGATTATAAGGTACATGATATATTTTTATATTGTTATATTTTATTTATATTGTCTTTAGAAATATTTTTAAATACATATTTTTATAGGGAATGTTAGAATATATAGTTTTAGCAGTTACCACATTACCTTCGGCTTGTGGTAGTGTATCTCATAATTTAACTGTTCCATGTGGAAGACATTTACATTATTTAACATTGGCACGTTTTCCTGTTATACAATATTGTTGCAGATTACTTTTTTTAGCAATAAAGGTAATTAAGAAAAAGTTATAATTAAGAACGTTCAAATTCTATTATTACATTTATAATACTTATATAATACAACAGGAAAATTTTTCTTTACCCGGTGGGGTTGGAGACTTGGCTATAGGACATGCATTAGTTTTAATGCAAATTGATTGGCCACAGGAAGCTAGTACTTTATCCATAATTACAGAAAGGATTATTAATCGTGGATCTTTCTCTTACCCATTATTTCAAGCTTATATTATATGTGTAGATATTTTAGAAGAATTAACATATCTATGGACCGAACATGGTGGTGGTATATCTTTAGATATAGCCACAGGATCAGGGGTTCTACAAAGTAAGTCATTTTATATATTGCACCACCATCTTTGTGTTTATTTATATAACTATATAAAAATATTATAGATCGACGTATTACCACTCGTGGAGCAGATAAAGGAGTGCGCGAAGAAGTAAAACAAGCAATGCGCCGACAAGCAGCTCGAGACGGCATCGATCCGTTAGATGAATTGTTACAAAAGTTTATTATCAATGAAAAAACAGCCATACTACATAGTTTAATTATTCAATAAATCAATTTAACATTATTTTTCATTGCTGAATTTAATATATGATTTTAATAAAATTATTATATAATTTTTTTATTTTAAAATATACATATGATTTTCTTAAATCAATATTTTATGTACAGATATTTAAAAGAAACAAAATTTGATTTGCGGAAATTTTATCTGAATACTTTTCTAGTCTTTACATGTGTCAGACAATTCTTTTAATTGTATCGGGATAGTACAAGCTTGTCTCATCTAATCTTGACAAGCCATCTTTAAGTGTAAATATATGAACATTATGATTTTGTTGGTGATATGATTCAGTCATAAAATTTATATACAAATATCCGTACTGTACTAAATAGTATGGAAAGTTAACATAACGTAAATACTTTGTTTAATAAGGCTTTTAAAGATTGTAAAAATTTTAAATTATAAAAATGAATAAGTGTAAATATTCCGGGTTTTATATATTGCATTCTATCTAATATAGACATTCAATTGAAGGGCACTTAGCAGTAATACTTTGATACCAGGCATAAAAGAAGATATTTGACTAAAATCTGGACCTGAAACTAATTGTGTGTGAAGGTCTAATCCTCCAGTATAATTTCCACTCTGAATCATCTGTGATATTTGATGTAATCCTTGTAAAGTGTTTTGTGATAGCTATAACGTGTACATAATATAAATATATTTCTTTTCTTTTATATTGTGTAGCATAATACAAAAAAATAATGTACATACCTTGCTGTCTCTAAGACAATCGTATAAAACTTCGAGTTTTCTGGATACATCTGCTATTTTGCGTTTAATTTGCTGAAAAAATGAAAAAAATTGCTAATATCGATCGCAGTATAAATAAAATATATCATACTTATAAACATGAAGAATTATCTTACTGGATTTTTGGCGTTTTCAAAGCATTGATTTTTTAGTTCATCGAATACTGTTTTTAAATGCATATGTTGTTCCGGAATCGGTGGTTTTGGTTTCTCTAGTTCAGGTGTTCTGGCAATTGGTGGTGTAGATTCCATTGGTTTGGCATATTGAGCAGCTACATTTGGTACATTCTGATTATATTGTTGTGGGTTATAAGATGCTTGCATATCCGGATAAAATTTTTCTTGTTGCAAAATCTAGAAAAAAAAGGATAAAAGTAATAATATTTTATAATTCATTAAATATTTTAATCATATCACTTACATTTGGTTCGGGTTGTGTCTCTCTTAATGGATGTAAAATTGGATTTTGGGGTTGATAATCTTGTTTTGACTGCAAAAAATGTAATGTTATATTAAAAGTAATATTTTTATCTATTAATTGCAATAACAAAATGATACGCATGAATTGTACAATGTAGTACTCGTATGACTCCAATTTTTGTATAAAGCAATGGGAAATGTCTTCGTATTTCACACTGTTACATTAGTTAATATAGTGTCACACGAAATTGTTACTCGCAATTTATTAAATCGAGTTTAAGAAATATTTAAGGGGAACAAATATATTTTGCTTAAAAAAAATAGCAGTGATGAAACAGTGGAAACAACACTCAATCTTTTCTAGGTCTACCTTAATATTCACATTCTTCGAATATTTTGCTTTCCATTTCCTGGTACCAGCATGATCCGCAGACATTTCATTTTTGTTGCATAATGCCAGTACTGGCTATATTATTTAAATATACATATACATATACATATATATAATAAATATAAAGTCATATATAATAACTAATAATATATATAATAACTAAATTTTAACGCCTAACACCACAAATATTAACACAAAAGAAAAAAGTAAAAATATGTACCTGTATTCTAGATGGCTTTGCAGCTGGTGGATCATTCCAACCTGCAGGTTGTAGCGATGCTTGATAAATGTTTGCGCGATCCATTGGTTGATTTTCGCTTCCATACATTTGAGTCTGCGGAAGTGGTTGCATTCTAATTGGTTCATGCATTTGACTTTGTGATGTATTTTGTAATGATGATAATACACTAAGTTGAACTGGTTTAAAAGTTTCCGCTTCTTTGATATTAGGTACAAGATTTTGTCCAGGGTATGCGTTTGTAGATATAGGAACTTGCGGTTGATACATATTCTGAGAATAGCCTGGCACTGGAGGTATTTGTTGATTATTATACAGCGATGCTTGTTGAGAAAATCCAGCTTGCCCATATGTTGAAGTAGACTTTACAGACGGATCTATTATGTATTTTGATCTTGTTGGAGGTCCAGCACTAGGTGGTCGAGATCCAATTCCGCTCGAAGCACTTGAAGGAGGTGGTGGCGGCGGTGGTGGTTGAGCAACAGATGTTGAAGTGTAAGAGTGAGATGTTTGTTCATATGGCATAGGTGGCATAGATTGAATAGGTTGAATAGGTTGAATAGGTTGAATAGATTGCATAGGTTGCATAGATTGCATAGATTGTATAGATTGCATTGGTTGCACTGGTTGTACATGTGGCTGAAGTGGAGACATTCCATATGGTTGCTGTTGAGTATTAAATTGATTTGAAGAAGATATAAAAGATTGTTTCATGGGGGCAATATTCGTATCGAAGAAAGGTCTTGCTGATCCAGCAGATATTGGATTTTGTACACCTTGTACGCCAGGTCGTCTTGTTTTATCGTAATAAGTTTGCATTGCTGGTCCTTTTGGCACAACTTTTGATTCTTCGATATAACCTAAGGCTCGCATCAGACGATCTTTTAACATCATGACTTTTTCATTTTGACTATTTCCGAGATAATTTAGTGCAGCATCCAGATCTCCTTCAGCAGCTAACATTTCTGCATAGCAAGATAAAACGTTGGCAATTTTTCCTTCTATTTGTACGTTTTTGATACCTTGCATTTCTAATGCTTTTTGCATTATAACTACTAGTTCTACTACCTCTTGAATTTCTATATTAGAAGATTCAACCATTTTATTCAAATTACCAGAACAAACGTAGCAAATTTGAGCTTGTTCTTTGAGCATTATATTGTCAGATAATGCCAAACGATCTCCAAGCATATCTATAAGACCAAAAAAATGTTATATATCTTAAGCTGTTATAACATTTACATTATAATATGATACATACCGCATAAAGCAGATCGTTCTTGTGAATTGGTATGAGTAAATATTCCAATTAGCACTTCTTTCCAACAATTTATGTCAGCATTGTTAACAACATCAGCCCAATTTTCACTAACTAATGAATTGATAAGAGAATTGAGAGCTCCAGAATGTTCTGAAAAGTATCTGTACTGGGTACGTGCTAATAAATCAGGTCCAGCAGCCATCGAAAGAATGACTGCATCTGCGTACCTTTTATTTGCAAAGCATAATGACACAGCAGCTTCTATATTTCCTAAGAGGATTGCTTGCGTTATAAGCCCATCCTCATCTGTAAGAACATCCAAGAACATAAAATTTTATCATCAAATGTAATGGTTGAACATATGTAATTCAGTTGTATGCACGTAATCATGAAATTTTTCTTACCATCTGACACATTTATCTGCATGTTTTTATTTTTCAAAGTAGCCATTGATGCTTTCTTAGATTCTTGTGCAATAGCATCAAATGCCATGCTTCCATCAATAACGTTTCCATTAAGTACCTAAAGAAATAATGTTTTGTATTATATAATGAATATTGTAAAATTCTTCTTAAATACTGTGAAAATTAAACTTACATTATTCAAATTACCAACTCCTTCTGTAATATTATCAATATCTTCTTGTGGAACAAATTGATTTAATTTATTATTCATTGTTTCTATATTATAACCAAGTAAATTCAATATATCTTTTGTTACATTTTCACCAAAATATGCACCCACACAATTCCATATTTTTTTTCTATATATATCAGTAGTATTATCAGCTTTTCCTTTGCAGTAATCATTATATTGCTCGCTTTTAAGAACTTCCTCCAACTCATTTGAACGTTGAATTAACTCAGGTTGTGTGACTACTTGTGAGATGATCACTTTTCTATTTGAATTTGGAGGAAGATTAGGATCTATAGGTCCATTTTCAAATATTACCAATTTACCACCGAACTAAAAAAAGTTTACTATTTTTGTAATAAATTTAGTACTATACCCTTAAAAATAAAAATTGATAAATATTAAACAAATACTTACAGCAAAGAACGCTCCAAACGGTCTTTTTAACCATTTTGGAGCTTTTGTCAAAACAACTGCTGGTTCTGTTTGTATTGGAGGTGGCGCATGTGTAAAAGGATCCATTCCAGGGAAGGAATCTACAATCTTGTCAGACGTTTCTATAGACATTTGTTGTTGTCCTCCCAATAAAGAGTAAACTGTTGCATGTCCATCAAAACTAGTTCCCACAACTAATCCAGGATTTCTTGGACACCATGATACATCAAAATTCCATTGATTTGTTTGTGCTAACTCACAAATTACTTCACCATTCTATATATTAAACAATATATAAGAAACAAATTATATGTATTTATACAAATATATTTCTTTTGGACTTACTGCTGCATCTGAGTTAGGATTCCAACACAATATTCTATTATCTTTGGCACAACTTAAAAGTAAGTCTGAATCATGCAGGTTCCATGCAATTGATAGAACACCACGTTGATGATTTTGAAGCGTTTTCAAAGGTGATGTTGCAAACCTCAAATCCCATAATTCAATTATCGGAGCTTGATCTTCTTCTGATGCTAAGCACAACTGTGTTGCAACATCTGGATGCCATTGAACTACTTTCCATCTTACCTGTATTTATACATAAACATAAAAATTATTTTTTTAAAAATATATTTATTAAGTATATTATAACTGCAAAATGTACTTTTGAATTTGTATCTGTTAAGTTGATGATAGGTTCATTTTTCCTCAAGTCCCAGATAGTACAACGTTGTGAAAATGTGGAAGCAAGAATATGTTGCACTGCAAAGAAAAACAAAAATTAAAAATGTAAAAATATAAATGGACTAAATATATAACAAAGTACCTTGCTTATTCCAAGCAATATACTGCACATCCTCTAGAGGTTGACTTCTGGCTCCAGGAGTCATTGGAGAATTTGTATTAACAATATCCCATATATAAATTTCATTTTCTGTTGCACCAGTTGCTAATAAATTTGCTTGAAAAGGATTAAAATCAAGTGCTCTAACTGGACCCTTATGTCTGTCTGTCTTACTTATCAAATAATTATTATCATTGGCTAACATTTTAGCAGCTGAATAAATTTTTATAATTCCATAATCACAGCCTCCAACAATTATGCCAGCTGGATTATTACCATATGAACCCCAAATTATTTTATGAAACCTAAAATTTTTATAAATGTATGACACTTTGTTAACTATTTCATGATACATTTGCAAGAAACATAATTTATCTCTAACCTATGGTCACTTGCAATAGTGGTCTTAAGCTCCAGATCATATCCTGGTTGTTGTAAATTTAAGGAATATAAATCCAAACTAGCAGATGTGTTGAAACTTGCATCTAGTTGTTGGGCTGCAGTTCCTGCAGCCAATAATATGGGATGCTGAGCCGGTGGTGACCATGCTACATTGACAGTCTTGAGTAACTCTTTTATCTTCATCTTCAATTCTCTAAAAGACAAATTATTTACTAATTTTTCAGTAAATCTTTTTTATCAGATTAAAAGATTAATACACAGTGTAATAATAATAATAATACATAACGTAACAAAAATGTGTGTGTACACATTTACTTGATTATATTCTACTGTAGAATTATCCGAATTATAGTAAATAAATTTATGTAAAGAACATTAATGGCAAACTTCAAAGAAAATTCACTTAAGAAGAATCATATATTTTTGCATGATTTTATTTTCGGCAAAGCTGCGTGAACGAACTACGAACGACAATAAATAATAATGCTGTAAATGCATTACACTCAATTCGTAAGTTCAGCGCTCTACTACATAGTACCAAATTGTAACACGTGTACATTAATATTTTACAGTTAATTTCAGATGAAATAGGAAATATAGAATTTATCTAAATAATATTTCCTCACCCTGTTATGTCGAATTAATTATAATTAAGTATATTATAGGAAATAAATTCCTAATGTCAAACAAGCAGCAATCACCCGTCAAATTCTTCCAACGTGGCGAACCATACGTTCAGAATAGTGCTGACCTCTTTGGTATTTCTGATACATTAGTAAAGTACAGTCATGGACCAGATATATACCTCGTTTGTGGTACAGTCTACTTTCGTTCGTTTCTATTGAATGCATGTACACACACTGAGAAGAAAATATATTTCTTCTACACAAAATATCCTAGATTGTATTTTCTTTCATAATAATTTCAGCATAGTATCTGACTGTAATCACACATCTGAAGGAAAGTGATTTCCTTTTAATAAATTGTCATTCTATATCAATAGCACAATTTATTCGAATGAATCGTACGAAATTTTTTTATTTTATTTCTGTAGATATATACTTATCAATTTTGGAAATCTCTACAAATATCATACACGTCATATATTATTATAGTAATTATAATTTTCTATTATCCTTTAATTCTCATGAATTTTTTTATTGACATTCGAACGTGAATAATCAACAAAGGATATTAATGTAGTTTTATTTGTATTCATTTTAAATAAATAATAAATTTCATTAATTATTTTGCGATCAAAAACGTGGAATATCTGAAAAGACACGTGAAAATTTATATATATATATATACAATGCACAATTTTTTTTATAAGAAATAGTAATATATCCAATTGATGTAACTTCTACATATAAAATATAAAGTCACTTTCATATATATAAAATATAAAGATGCTTTCATAAATTAAATTCTCTTTTTTGTACGACGAAAGGCGTGGGGTAACAAAGTGCTTCGATACAACACTGCCTTATTCATAGCGTTCCAACTTGGAGTTTATTCTAGTTGTCGGATCTATAGCAGTATGAACGCAGTTTTCAGTGCGCCGTTTTAATACAACAGAATCTTAATAAAAATCATTGACGGAAATATTTTCTCAGCAAGATAAAATACCTCTGATTAAAAAATAACATTTACCATGTGAAAATAACAAAGAAAATCATTTCTTCATTGCCACATACGTATTCGTGAAGTATATCTAAAATTACTCCAACGTATCCTGTGTAATTCACCGCAATTATACAAATACAGGTAAGCTATAAACATGATTATAAACTTGAAAGAGGTACCAAACATGAGATAAACTTTTGTATTTCCGTTTTACTTTCACTTTCATTGCTTTTTATGCAGCGATATACGATAAATAGTATTTTTTTTTTTTTTTTTTTTTTTTTAGTAAAAATTACTCGAATCATAATACTAACTATTTATCCACACTTTCGCAATGTTCTCCAGTTCAAGGTAGATGTCACAATTTTTTCTTATGATGACCCGAGATGAGAAATATGTGATAACGGAAGTCTGGCATCAACGATAACAGCTAATTATTCCATAATGAGATAAATGGAATTATTTTCAAAATTAGTCAAGTTTAGCGCTCTTTCCGGCAAGTATCACGATGTGGCCACGATTGAGAAAATCATGCCGCACGTGGTCAATCGTTCTTTCGATCACTCTATTAATAGGAATATTCGTCGTTTGGTCATGGAAAAAACGAGAGGACGAAAATTCTCGTAACGATTACGTCTCACTTCGGTAAGCAATCACGAAGCGGAAAATTTGCGACTGAAATTGTTGTAAAATATTATTTACAAAAGTATTTATCGCTTTTCTTTCGAGAAGCAGTTGAGTGGAATATTATGATAGCTTCAATCACTGTAGATGATTTTTAGATATATATAAAATATATCTGATATGTATTATAATTTCATTCTTCGTTTTTTTTTCATTCTCAGGCTTTTGAATAATCAAAAAGATTATATAGATCGTAAAGGAATACATGTAGTAGTAGGACATTATATTGGCGACTCCGTAGACCCTATGAAAACGCCGAACATTACGAAAAGTACGTTACCAGATGCATATGCTGCACATACTTGTTATGGATTATACCTTTCGTTTCTCATTAACAGATCTCATTAACAAAAATATGTTTGATCCACGGCCATTTGAAGGGAAGGATGGTAACCCGGTTCTTGTACCGGCGAAAGACTTTTACAAAATGCAACAGCTTTTTCAAATCAATCGATTTAATTTAATGGCTAGTGATAGAATACCGTTGAATCGATCTCTGCCTGATGTTAGAAGAAAAGGGTAACGTACTCTATTGGTTTTTTACTTTATCGACATAATCAGCAGTAGGAAATTTACCGATTGCAGGTGCATAACGCGATATGTGAACGTAGGTAACTTACCGAGAACATCAATAATTATCGTTTTCCATAACGAAGCTTGGAGTACGTTGCTTAGGACTGTATATAGTGTAATTAACAGATCGCCAAGGCATTTATTAGAAGAAATTATTCTCGTTGATGACAATAGTGACAGAGGTACAGATCATATCTTTCATTAACATTCTTTTGTTTTTTAATAATGTATTAAAATTGTTTTTATTTTTTGTTTATTAGATTTTTTGAAGGATACGTTAGATGACCATGTAAAAACTTTAAAAGTTCGCACTAAAGTTCTTCGTTCCAGGCAACGTATAGGACTAGTAAACGCGAGACTTTTAGGTGCCAATGATGCTAAAGGTGAAATCCTCACATTTCTTGATGCACATTGCGAATGCACGGTTGGTAGGTAAGCTCTTTCGTTAATATTTTTGCAATAAGTACAATAATGATATGATACATTTTTTATTATAATGTTTACATCGATATGATTTAGGATGGTTGGAACCCTTGCTTGAAGCGGTTGCTAAGAATAAAACTAGGGTGGTATCGCCTGTTATCGATATTATAAATGACGATACTTTCAGTTATACTCGGTAAGATATAATTATTATCAACATACTGTGATAATGAAATAAATAATAATAATGTAACATTACAGGTCTTTTGAGTTACACTGGGGCGCGTTTAATTGGGACCTACACTTTCGTTGGCTAACATTAAACGGTCGGTTGTTGAAAGAAAGACGTGAAAATATCGTCGAACCGTTCAGAACACCTGCCATGGCTGGAGGGTTATTTTCTATGAATCGAGATTATTTCTTTGAACTAGGTAGTTACGACGATCAAATGAAAATTTGGGGTGGTGAAAATTTGGAATTATCGTTTCGAGTATGGCAATGCGGCGGTAGCGTTGAGATTGCTCCATGTTCTCACGTAGGGCATCTCTTTCGAAAATCATCACCTTATACGTTCCCAGGCGGTGTTGGAGAGATTCTATATGGAAATCTCGCTAGAGTGGCTTTAGTTTGGATGGACGAATGGGCAGAATTTTATTTTAAGTTTAATGCAGGTAATCAAAATTTCATAAATGAGTCGAATGTTTCATTATCTTTATATGTTTTCTCTCAGAGGCAGCTAGATTAAGAGACAAACAGCCAGTTCGAGCTAGATTGGAATTACGTAAAAAATTGCAATGTAAGAATTTCGAGTGGTATTTGGATAATGTTTGGCCAGAACACTTTTTTCCGAAAGACGACCGTTTTTTTGGACGGGTAAATTAAAATTTGACATTATAACTGAATGATAAATTTGAATGTTAAATTAAATTATAATAAATATTTGTATTTTATAGATTTTGCATATTTCATCGAATAAATGCATCATGCGACCAACCGCGAAAGGAACGTATTCACAACCCTCGGGATACGCAATTCTTGAAACGTGCCTTCCGAGGCCAGTACTTAATCAAATGTTTGTGATGACGACGGATGGAGTTATAATGACTGATGAAAGCGTCTGTTTGGATGCACCTGATCATGACACTCAGCACAAGACACCAAAGGTTAAAATAATGGCATGCAGTGGTCATAATAGACAAAAATGGCGATACGACGAACAAGTCTGTTTTGTATTCTCATTTGTATTTACTTATAAGTTTTAAACAAATTAGTTCTAAATTTCCTTCTCTTTTCTAGTCAAAGACTTTTATACACATATCTTCTGGAATGTGTTTACAATCAAACAATGACGAGGGTCCTGTGATAGCAACTTGTACAAAAAGCATCGAGCAGAAATGGTTATTAAAATCAATTCCCTGGAAATAATACTATAATATTTTAAAGCGCAATATATTTTTTGAAACTATTTTTAATAAAAATTTAACTTGCGAATTTTTGCAGGAAAGTTTGTTAATAAATGTATGCGTGACTTCTTTGTAAATGTTATTATTTAATAACAAAGAATTATTTAATGCATTCGATCCATTAACAACTTTGGCACCGTCTCGCATAAACGCACCTGCGTCGCGCACATATTTTTAGACTAACACAGAAGTTCCTTAAGTAGATAATACTTCGTTGCAAATTCCGGAGAAGATGCTGTTCGTAGTCGATGATTCACTAAACTAGTAAGGCTACACGTGACGAATCATCTTTATTGTCAATGTTATCAAGGTTGTGTTGTCCTTAAAATTGCAGTAGTTTTTCAATCAAATATAATTAACATTTATATCGATAAGCCTTCCGATGAATGCTCGTTTACGAAATTTTATTTCATAGTCTTTGTATCATTAGTATTCACTTTCTACTAAAAAGAAGTTCTTTATTACAGTAGAATGTTAGATAAAACGAGTCTTCTGACGAGGCATTTTGAACATCGTTTTGAATAAAATAATTGGAATTCGCACCAATAGCCTAGTTGGTGTTACTGGCATGTGGGTCAAAGTCATGTCCTCGGCGAGGCCAAGACTCCACTTAGCTTGAAGCGGCCTAGTCTCCCTGTTCGTTACGATCACCTACAAGGCAAGTTTGGTCGAGATGAGTGAGCCTTTATTTATGGATCGATATCATTCGATGAACAGAAATACCGCATCTACTAAGAGCGTTAATTCACATCTTCGAATATTTTAACTGGATACAACTGTTTGATTATATTTAAATGGAACAGCAACAATTTCTGATATCTATTGAAATTTTATATTTCTCATTTTTTTTTTTTTTTTATAACCATCTTAAATACTCTTTATTAATAAAACGAATTTTAACATTACAGACATGTCGGTGATAGAACGAAGTCTTTCAAAAAATTAACGAATACATGAATAACATTAGGAATGAGATCTAGAGAGATTCACGAATAGAAAAATCAAGATTAAGATCTATTGTCCACGTGATCACGTGCTCGTCTTGTCCACCGTGTGTTCCGGTTCTCACACACTTATGACCCTGGACAATCTGCCGTTTCTCACGTTAATTGTGTGTCCTTTTCCTTGCTGAACGTTGAATTTCTGGAAACGCGACTATCTTTCGAGGAACTTGAATTTCTGACTCGTCAAACGTACGAAATACCGTTACTCGATAAATTCTCGTATTCTAAATATTAGAAGAAATAAAGAATTTGCTAGATAATTTCGTTTCACAAAGAAAGACAACTCGATTAAGACTTCTTCATCCTTTCAGGTAACTTTCTTTTAATGGCGTTCGCGGAATCACCGAAAAACTTGCGGCATCGTAGGGACGCAAAAATAGGGAGTTTAATGAAAGGTTTGGAGAGGTATACACACGGACGCGGGAACGCGATGAGAGAGCGGAGAAAGTAAACGCAAGTACGACGAGAGTTTCTTTAAAATGAATTTCCATGTGTAACTTCGTTTCTCTCTCTTTCTCTATATGTGTACATTCATATATATATTTTTCAAAATCGAATATTACATATAAACATATATACAGTTCACCACTATATTCTACAGGACGCGTGACTACGGGGCTAAACAGAGAGTTGCGTGTATGTGTTTTTTTTCTTAACGAGTAAAAAAAAAAAAAAATAGGAGCACTTAAGATCGAAAATTGTTCGTAAGGAAAGAGCGAATAATTTTCGTCCTCGCGACGAGATCATCGA